CCCAGAAACACTAATAGTTAAGTATGTCAATGTACTAAATAAATCATTCACTTGCACCCATGGGGAAGAGTTAGTGTTACTGCCCTTCACAGTGAAAAAAAGAAGAAAAATCTTTCATTTTTAAAATTAGGAGATGTTACATAACTTGACACTTTAGTAGGGTATACACTAGCATTAGTTTATACAACACTTTTGCCACTGGGGAATTCAAGTTGAAATGTCCCTCAGTCATATAGGTCTGGAGTACATCTTTCTTTCATAATTTCTGCTCAGATAATTGAATAGTTTACCATCTAGGTCATTTTCATTTATACTATAAAACAAAAACAAACTAGTCCAGTTAAACTTTTTATATTTAGAATATTGCACATTTTCTATATATGAGTCATTCAGATTAGTATCTGTAGGTTCAGTCAGATCCAACCATGGATTCGAGTTATTATACTATATAACCCTACAAAATACATAGAAATATTATTTGCCTTTATAATAGAACCCAAGAGTCTGTTTCAATTTATGAATTCAGCATTTGTGCAGAGATTTTGATTCCCAAAGTTTGGGAAAAAGTGACAAAACAATGAGGGAAGAAGGAACCAGGCCTTAGTGCCACATATTTTTCTCTTGGGGTTGTAAGGTAGTCTCCTGCTTTCCAGAACACTGTATTATATTTCACTTATAGACCTCATTTTCTGTGTCAAAGTATAATTCCCATGCTGAAACTGTAGCCTAAAAAGGCAAAAGAAAGTTGTCTTCATTGTACAAACATATTCATCACTTTAACAAGGTAATAAGGGAACAAAATTTAGTATTCAAGCTGAGTGAGAATACCATTTCAATGAGCATGTCCCTAAGATAAACCAGAATTGGCAGTTAATTTGGATGTCTAGAAAATCTGTTCCCACCAGTAAAATTATCCTGAGTGGCTAATGCACCTTGAGAAAAATCTGGCGTACTGGGTAACACTCATGTGGGAGCCAAGAGCTGGGTAAGCCTTACCTTGAGACTACTCTGTGACTACAGAAATACAGCCAGCACTTTTCGAACTAATACGCCTTCACTTGTATCATAAAGAGTATTGCCCAACTGAACTTTGCTCCCACTGGTTCAGGAGTTATTTTTGCCTGAGCACTCACCTTCCGATTTTACCCAAGCATATAGGATAGAAAAAAATGCATTATATTTGGGAGCTACTTCACCCAAATTACAAAATGAGTCAGTGTTTTTAGTTTCAAGTGACAGTAAAAGGATTTGTTCCCTTCAGTGACTTGAGTGTTTTAGTTACGCATTCTAGCAAAGGAAGGGTAGAAAGGAATTGAAAACTAATTTACACTAGTTGCTACTTGGGAATAAAGGGCTTTTTGAGGGAGGTATGGATATTAAATGTTTTCATTATGTACTTATCCCTATGAAAACAGGCAGTTGTTTCTTTGAATATGCCTAAATAACAGTATTCCTAAAATCTGACAAGTAGTATGTCAATTACTTGATATTCCTTGTCTCCAGTACGACAGGCCACTCCTGACATCCCATGCTTGCCTGGATAAAGTTCCTCATTTCAAACAGTGTACATATTTCTTTGCAGTTCATTATAGTAAGGCTTGACCTGTCAACAGTATCTTGATGGCCCACCTATAAATAAAATTCAGCATTCTATTTTTAATAATTTGTATGCCACCAATTTGTATTGTCTCAATAAATACTTAGTCATCAATGTATCTGTGTTTTGTCTGTTTCTTTGAGATGGTTCGCTCTGGAATCTCCTGCTTAGGGAGTCCTTGCTTCTAAATACAGCTTTTCCAGTGGGTTTAGCAGTAAACTAGAATGCTTTCAGAAATAGAGATCTGTGAAAAAAGAATCGTCCATCTTTAGGGACGATTTAGCAGGCACACTCACAAGTTACAAGTACATGAATTAAGCTTACTATTAAACTAATCCAGTCCTTCAAGAGTTGTTAACCATCACAACCACCACACAAGTCTCATCTGGGTAATTTAAACTCAGTTCTGACCTTAAAAGCCTTTCCCGTTCTTTTATGAACAGGTCCAGAGAGAAAGGGCAGGAAGCAAAACAGGTTCCTCACTCAACAAGGGCAAAAGATAATAAAGGATGAACTAAGAGTGTAGCTAAAAGATGGTCCAAGTCCTATAGACAATGTGTTGCTGTTATGAGCCTAGCCACAAACTTAATGTTTTGGAACTACAGTGGATTTTTGAGACAAGTTTACAAAAGGTGCCCCATACTACAAAAGGAAATGAAGTCTCTGGCTGACGTGGTCATACAGCTGATGCATGTAGCTAGACCTACTACCCCCACTTTCTCAATTTTACTAGACCAAATTTGTCAGTTTCCATTAAATGGACCGGCCAAAATAACCTTTACACTGTATTTTACTTTTCCAAAGTAAAATAATACTTTCCAATTAAAAAGTTATTCACAGGCTTAACCAGCATATGGCCTGGTTATATGTTGTTAAAATTAGTTCAATAACTTCAAATAATTAGATGAAACAAGTAATTTCAAAGGAGAATTTGTAACAAGTATTAGGCGGCTTAAAGACATTTTTCAGTGGTCTGAACTGTACCTTTTTCTCAATGCCCGGAATTGTAATTACGCAAAACACTTTACTTTTAAAGTGACACCCCCAAACCTCAGTGCATCAGTCAGCCAGGTGCTTATTTGATGATGCAGACTTTTGGACCCCATCCGGACCCAGTCAGTTTCTGGTGATGGGGCCCTAGAACATATATTTGACATACCCTGCCAAATACTACTAACAGTACATTCAGTGAGCCACCAGTCCTCTGGTCAACCAAATTGTAAAAACACCTACCTAATTATTCAATTAAAGTTTCTGAACATGACTTTCCTCCCTTCAGATATTATTTTTCGTTTAAAAAAATTCCTGGCTGGGCTCGGTAGCTTGCACCTGTAATTTCAGCACGTTGGAAGGCAAGAGGATCGGATATCGAGTCCCTGTCTCTACAAAAAATAAAAAACTTAGCATGGTGGCACACACCTGTAGTCCCCAGCTACTCCGGAGACTGAGGCAGGAAGATTGCTTGAGCTGAGGAGTTGAGGGATGCAGTGAGCTATGATCGCACCACTGCATTCCAGCCTGGGTGACAGAGGGAGACCCTGTCAATCCATTTTCATTACTCACTGGCCCAGCATGAGAAGTATGGGCTTTTATTACTTTCTTTCCAACATTTGTTTTCCCCGCTATCCACAAATATCAATTTTCACTTGTGTTTGCAGCACACAACCCAAAGCAAGGTCGGGCATGTGGCTCACGCCTGTAATCCCAGCACTGTGGGAGGCCAAGGCGGGCAGATCGCAAGGTCAGGAGGTTGAGACCAGCTTGGCCAACATGGCAAAACCCTGTCTCTATTAAAAATACAAAAATTAGCCAGGTGTGGTGGAGCACACCTGTAGTCCCAGCTACTCGGGTGACTGAGGCAGGAGAATCACTTGAACCCAAGAGGCGGAGGTTCCCAAGAATTAAAGTAGTCAGACTGAAAAAAGCCCAAAGTTCTGAATGCAGTCCTATAGATTTCTCAGGTTGGGGGCTGAAGATTCCATTTTTAACATAAACCAGACTAAGTATGGTTTCAGTGACTTTTTATTTAAAGAGTACTAAATAAAAGTAAACATTATTTCTAGCAATTTTTAGAGAAAAGCAGAATGCTTCAGCCATAGGGGCCTAGAGAATGGCTAAGAACTAACCTACAAAGTTTAAGAATTAACTTCTCAGCAGTAAGACACAAATTCCGTTACCTCTTCCAGTATTCATCGCCACATTTGGCCCCTTCAACAGGTGTCAAATGTATACTGCTAAAAGCGAAATTTCTACCCCCAACCAGCATTTGATGTACTAACATATCTCAAGTAAGAAAAATACCTTGAATTCTAAATTTAAACTGCAACCAGGCCAAGCCCGGTGGCTCACGACTGTAATCCCAGCACTTTGGGAGCCCGAGGCGGGTGGATCATTAGGTCAAGAGTTCAAGACCAGACTGGCCAACCTGGTAAAACCCTGTCTCTACTGAAAATACAGACACAAAAATTAGCCGGCCGTGGTGGCAGGCAACTGTAATCACAGCTACTCAGGAGGCTGAGGCAGGAGAATTGCTTGATCTGAGGCGACAGAGGTTGCAGTGAACTGAGACCGCACCACTGCACTCCAGCCTGGGTGACAGAGCAAGACTCCATCTTGGAAAAAAAGAAACTCCAACCAACCAGAAGTTCAGCAAATTAAAACTGAGCACAAAATAACTGTACATTCAAACTGAAAAATAAAATTACCAAATATTGTTCCAAGAGCTCTTTTAGGGACCACAGGAGTCCAGTTTAACCAAAAAAAAAAAAAAAAAAAAAAACAAAAACGAATGCAGTAAAATAATACAAAAGAAAGTGCAGCTGACCCTTGAACGCATGTTTGAACTGTGAACCCACTTATCACGGGCTTTTCTTTTCTTTTTTTTAACCCAACCGAGCACAGATCAAAAGCACAGTATTCATGGGATATAAAACCTGCACATTCAGAGGCTTGGCTCAGGTTCTACAGGGGCCACTGCTGGACTTGAGTATGCGTGAATTTGTGGATTTTGGTATGGGGGTGGGGGATTTGGAGGAGTGTGGTTCTGGGAACAATTTCTTCTGCACACACCAAGAAACAACTAGTTTTTGTGTATGTATCTCCAAGAATTTTAATAAACACTATCCAGTAACTTACCAAGGAAGATAGAAGCACAAAGAGAAATGAATGTGCATGTTTATTTTCAACTTTTAAAAAAGGTATGTAAGTCGATGTGCAAATTAGGCATGATTCATAGCACCAGGCAAGAACTAGGGTACCTTCTATATGTTGTGCATTTAGATACTTTCAGATACTTTCCCTTTCTCTTAGGAGTTGTCTAAATCACGTCAATGTATTCTTCTAATGAGACAGTTAACCTTTATTTTAAAAAGTCCCCTCCCAATAATACTATGTGTCTTCATTATGAGGTAAAACTAGAACAAAAAGTATGTCATAATTTTTTATTGATGGCATTTATCCCATGGTTTAACATGTTAATTATACTGTAATAAACATGGCTTTAATATTAAACTTTTCCTTATTATCCAAAGTCACCACAGTCCATTTTAGTAAATATAAAAATATATGCTTAATACTTTGTACAATACTGGTTTTTGGTCCAAACAAAACTGGATCAGAAAAGCCAATAAATTCAACTTTAAGAATCCCCAATTTTTTTTTAAAGATTTCCAAATGGATTTAGGCAACTTTGAATAATGGGATTTACATAATAAAATCTGAGACAAGACTAAACAAACAACAAAAAAATCTCTAACACAAAATTCAAATTTCAAGTTCACAGATTTATGTTATGCCAAAAAAGTACAGAAACAAAATTGTATTTACACAAGTTTCATAATAAAATAATGAAAAAGGCAAGACAGGTGATAGAAGAATGAAAATATAGAAATAGCATATAATTATTAAATGGAGGATGAACTAGATCTAACAAGTCCTCAGCACGGACCATTCTTTAATCAGGCTTCCTCTATCAGAAAAGTTTAGTGCACAATACACCCAACTCACTCACTTCACACATACACCAGCACAAACTCAGCATAGAAATCATCCGTTTCAACATTCTCTAATCTATACAGAATTCTAATCTATACAGAATTCCTCAGATATAATTACAATTTCAATGCGTTCCGTAAACGCTTATCAGCGCACATAATGGTGTAGACAAAAGAGGTTCTATACAAAGCCATTCGCCGTGCAGGCTCCATTCCTGGGTACAGCCAGACTATGTCAAATCAGTGAATAATCTGCTGGATCATAAAATATTTTTGCTGAAGAATCAGTCACCAGTCTAGCTATTATATTTTTTAAAAAGGGTGGGTGAGGCGGGTTGGGGCTTCTGTAACGAAAAAGGAGGAAAATTCCAAAATTAAAGAAGTCCTTAGGCAGATCTGACTTCAGATAACCCCAGCACAAAGTACAATCCAGTATCTGAAAGCAGGGCACCAGCTGTTGTTAAAATTGCGTATAACACCAATGTGACCTTTATTTCCTGCGTCTAACAGCAGTCTTTATCTTCCGACCAGAGACTGAAGTTCCAGAAGAGAACACATTTTTCCCATTTGACCTGTGAAAAATAAAAACTTCATAATGTGACATGATGCTCTGAGCAAAATTTCCAAATGCTAACATTTACCATGAGCAGCAGAAGGGTAGGGTGGCGGGGGAGCAGACTCACATTGTTATGTACATTTTCTGCTATACCTAACACACACGCTACTGTTATTTTTTTCTCAAACTGTAATACAACTCTCCAGAATTGTAGTACGGTAAATTTATGTTGGAGAACATATTTAATTTTACCCAAACCATACTGAATCTTGATGACTTTTAAAAACAAAACATATACATGCACATACCCTTACCAATGTGAATTCTCCATTTCAATAAAAAATTCTCTTACCCCACTGTAAATGCTGCTGGCGACTGGTTAAATGGAAAGCCCCCGGAGCCTGAAGGCTGGGCTGAGGCTGCAGGTGTGCTAGAATTTGCACCAAATGTGAACACTCCTGATGGATTGTTGTTTGTGAAGTTGAAATTTGTAGTGCTGCTGCCAAACTGGAAAACCGAACCTACAATAGTTAAAGCAGAAATACTTCATTAGGGCAAAATGATAGGGTTTTTTGGGGGGATGGAGTCTCACTCTGTTGCCCAGGCTGGACTGCAGAGGCACAATCTTGGCTCACTGCAACCTTCGCCTCCCGGGTTCAAGCAATTCCCCTGCCTCAGCCTCCCCAGTAGCTGGGACTACAGGTGAATGCCACCATGCCTGGCTTATTTTTTGTATTTTAGTAGAGATGGGGTTTCACCATAGTCTCAATCTCCTGACCTGGTGATCTGCCCACCTCAGCCTCCCAAAGTGCTGGGATTACAGGCGTGAGCCACCGTGCCCGGCCGCAAAATGACAGGTTTTTAAATTAATGACTCTGACCTCTACATATAAAAACATGCAAAGAGTTAAAATATTTTGGTCTTTTAATCTAAATAAAACTATTTTCTCCACTGACACATAGTACTCACTTGACACCTCCAACAAATCACACAACTTACCTATGACCAAGGGGAAAAGGGCAGTCTGGACTTCTGGTTAAAGATTGTGAAATCAACAAATACATTTAGCTCTATCTTCTTTGAAAAGTGCATTAAAACAAGGGATTTTTACAAAGATAGAGAGGTGACAACAGCAACAAAGGTTTAGAAGCTGGAAGGCTGACCAGAAGTGATACTGAACTAGCAGCAGGGAAAGAACAGAAGCAATTGCATTTATACCAAACGTAACCAAAATGTTTAGGTTCCAGATACCTATGGAAGAGAGGATGTCGTGGGAATTAAAAAAAAAAGGATAGCAGAGTATCTGATTAGAAGCAGATACCCAGGATCAATCCCTCCCCACACCAAGATGGTAATTATCAGTGGGTGCAGTGACTCATGCCTGTAATCCTAGCACTTTGGGAGGCCGAGGCAGGCGGATTGCTTGAGCCCAGGAGTTTGAGACCAACCTAGGCAACACGGTGAGACCCAATCTCTATAAAAATTTTTAAAAAATCAGCCAGGCATAGTGGTGTGCACCTGTAATCCCAGCTACTCAGGAGGCTGAGGTGGGAAGATCTCTTGAGCCTAGGAGGTCGAGGATGCAGTGGGCCCTGACTCTGCCACTGCCCTCCAGCTTGGGCAACAGAGTGAGACCCTATCTCAAAAGGAAAAGAAACAAACAAACAAACAAAAAGATGGTAATTCTCCTTTTCCACTCCACCAGAACAGAAGTTCAGTCTTTTAGTCTTTGTAGAAGTGTCTGGACTGGGAAACACCACGTACAGTTAAGGGCAATAATATCATTTTGAAAACGGGAATTAAGAGTAGGTCAATATTCACTAAATACCGAGCGCTCCAGCCATCTTCCCAATCTTAGCTCCCAGAACACTGGCAAATGGAAGCTCCCTGATACCCTCCAAGCAGGAGACTGGATGTATCTTCTTTGGGGAATCTGACAAACTGAGTGGAAAGAACGAAGGATACTAACATCCAAATTTTCCCAAGTAAAATAAAGCTAGACAAACCAGATAATCTACAACGAAATTTGAGATCTGTAAGCCCTATCAATGTAGAAAGGACTTAAGTGGTATTTATGTGTCCTACACCCATTAAAAACTACAAGTAGCCAAGGAGAACCAGACATTTGAACAACTTTGAGACAAAAATAATAAAAGCAATTTTGGGAAAACTGACTCAGCAAAGAAAACTTTAAGGAGAAAAATCTGAACTCAGTATCTTTAAAGAATACTTCATCCACTGGCGGTTGGGTGGGGTGGAGGTGGGGGGAACCCAGAGGGGCATAAAAAGGAAACATCCAGAAAATAAAAAAGAATACTTAGAAATTAAAGAAATAGTGGAAGTTAAAATCTCAACAGAACGGGTAATGAAGGATAAATCTCAGAAAGTATGACACGAAGACAAAAGGTAAGAAGGAAAGGAAGGATGAAGGGACAAAATCTTCAAATAAGTAATTCAGGAAAATTCCCCAAAATGGAAGTTCACAAGAGCATGCTGCACTCCCTACACAAAGGATAAAAACAAACCCACATCAAGACACATCCTGATATATCAGAACAATGGAGGCAAAAGAGGGCAGTCTTAACAATTCCAGAAAGAAGCAACAGGCCAAAGAGAAAAGATCAAGACTTCAGGCAACTCTGGAAGCCAGAAAGGTCTACAATAGAGAAAGGCCTTTGAAATTATAAAAATGATTTCCAATCTACATCTATATTCAATCAAAATCTTACCAAACATGGGGTGAGAATAAAGATCCTTGCAGACATGTATGGCCTCAAAATGTTCATCCCTGAACCCTCAAGAATCGCTGGAAGATGTGCTGTATCAGCAAAAAGGGGAGTAACAGGGAACACATGACACCCAGGAAACGGGTTCTTATATGAAGCTAAAAGGAATCTCCACAAGAGTGGTAAAAAGAGGTTTCCCAAGAGTACAGTTAAACAGCAAGCCAAGAAAGCCTGGTAGGAGGAACAGGTTAAAAGACCCTGTGAGAAAAGTGCTTTCAGTGCTTGCTTCAGCAGCACATACCCACAACTTGAACAAAGAAGATTAGCATGGCCCCCTGCACAAGGATGACACCCAAATTCATGAAGTGTTCTATATTTTTAAATTAGAAAATACTGATGAAAGAAATTAGACAGAACACAAACAAATGTAAAGACAACCTATATTCATGGATCAGGAGAACTATTATTGTTAAAATGGCCATATTCCTCAAAGCAATCTATGGATTCAATGCAATCCCTACCAAAAATACCAATAACATTCTTCATAGAAACAGAAACATATCCGGCCAGGCGCTGTGGCTCATGCCTATAATCCTAGCACTTTGGGAGGCCAAGGTGGGTGGGTGGATCACCTGAGGTCAGGAATGCAAGACCTGCCTGGCCAACATGGCGAAACCCTATTCCTACCAAAAATACAAAACTTAGCCAGGCGTGGTGGTATGCACCTGTAATCTCAGCAACCCAGGAAGCTGAGGCAGGAGAATCGCTGGAACCTGGGAGGCAGAGGCTGCAATGAGCCGAGACTGAGCCACTATACTCCAGCCTGGGCGACACAGCAAGACTCCGTGGAGAAGACTCTGTTGAGGGAAGGGGAAAGGGAAGGGGAAAGGGAAGGGGAAGGGGAGGGGAAGGGGAGGGAAGAAGAGAGAGAACAGAAAAGAAAGAGAAGCAAATCCTAAAATTCATATGGAACCACAAGAGTCCAAATAGCTAAAGCAATCCTGAGCAAAAAGAAAAAAGCTGAGGTATACTATCTGCCTTCAAAATACACTACACAAAGCTATACTTACCATATATAGCTATATGAGACTGGTATAAAAAGACACAGACCAATGGAATAGAATAGAGAATTCAGAAACAAATCCACAAATCCAACTGATTTTCGACAAAGATGGCAAGAACATGCATTGGGAAAAGGATACTCTCTTTAGTAAATGGTGCTTGGAAAACTGGAGATCCATATGCAGAATGAAACTAGACCCCTACTTCTCATCCTATATAAAAATCAACTCAAAATGGATTACACTTAAGTGTAAGACATGATACTACAAAACTCCTAGAAGAAAAGATAGAAATGCTCTAGAACAGACCACAGGTCTAAGCCAAGCTTGTCCAACCCAGAGGCCGCATGTAGCCCAGGATGGCTTTGAATGCTGCCCAACACAAATTCATCAACTTTCTTAAAACACTGAGATTTTTTTGTTTGCAATTTTCTTTTTTAGCTCATCAACTGTTGTTTGTTAGTGTTAATGTGTTTTATGTTTGGCCGAAGACAATAATTCTTCCAGAGTGGCCCATGGAAGCCAAAAGATTGGACCCCCCCTGGCCTAGGCAAAGATTTTATGGCTAAGACATCAAAAGCACAGGCAACAAAAAAATAGACGAGAGGGACTATATTAAACAGCAATCAACAGAGTGAAAAATCTGTTGAAAGGGAAAAAATGTTTGCTAACTATTCATACAACAGGGAACTAATATCCAGAATACACAAGGAGCTCAAAGGACTCAACAGCAAAACAAAAAACAAACAACCCAAATAATCCTATTGAAAAGCGGGCAAAGGATCTGAATAGACATTTCTTAAAACACAATACACAAATGGCCAATAGACCTGAAAAGATGCTCAACATCACTATCATAAGGGAAATGCAAATCAAAACCACAATGAGGCAGCATTTCACCCATTAGAATGGCTACTACCAAAAGGACAAAAATTAACAAATGCTGGCAATGAAATGGAAACTTATACACTGTTGGTATGAATGTAAATTAGTATAACCATATGGAAAGCAGTATGGAAGTTTCTCAAAAAATCTAAAAATAGAATCACCTTATGATCCAGCAATCCCATTACTTATTTATCCAAAGAAAAGGAAATCAGTATATCAAACAGATACCTGTACCCGATGTTCAGTGCAGCACTATTCACAATAGCCAAGATATGGAATCAATCTAAGTGTACATCAACAGATGAATGGCTGCAGAAAATGTGATCTGATATACAGTGAAATACTATTTGGTCATTAAAAGAAAATAAAATCTTGTCATTTACTACAACATCTATGGCACTGAAGGATATTATGTTAGGTGAAATAAGTCAGGCACAAAGACAAATATTCAACGTTCTCATTCATATGTAGGAGCTAAAAAAAAGTTGATCTCATAAAGGTAGAGAACAGAATGATGGTTCAGAGGCTTGGTTGGGATGGTGGTAGGAAAAGAAAGGTGGTTAATGAATACAAATATATGGCTAGATAGTAGGAATAAATTCTAGTATTTGAGAGCACAGTAGAGTTAACAATAATTTATTGTATATTTCAAAATAGCTAGAAGAGAAGATCTGAAATATTCCCGATACAAAGAAATGATGAATGCTCAAGGTGATGGATATCCTAAATGCCCTAATTTGATTATTATACATTGTATGTAACAAAATAACACATATCAGTTTTTAAAAATGAAAAACTTTAAAATATGGTTTTCACTTTTATCAAAAATGCTTCCGGATTATTACTAAAACTACATTTTTATGTATGACAAAATGAATGCTTTGTGTTTTCTGTGGGAATGACCTTTACTAGACTTTGTAGTATGGCTTTTTTTTGGGGGATAGTTATGCTGCTACCCAGAGCCTAGAATTTTCTAACACCTTGGTTGGGCACAGTAGCTCACACCTATAATCCTAGCACTTTAGGAGGCTGAGGTGGGTGGACTGCTTGAGCTCGGGATTTCGAGACCAGCCTGGATAACATGGCAAAACCCCGTCTCTACAAACCACGAACCACTCCAAAAATAAACAGATGGGTGTAGTGGTGGTGTCTGCCTGTAGTCCCAGCTTCTTGGCGGGCTCAGGCAGGAGAATGGCTTGAGCCCAGCAGGTTGAGGCAATAGTGAGCTGAGATTCTACCGCTGTACTCCAGTCTGTGGGTGCAAGGTAAGACCCTATCTCAAAACATTTTTAAAAAATTTTAAAAAAGGATTCTCTAACATCTTTACTATCCAGGTCTACTTTGTTACAGAACTGAGAACCTCCACCCTAAAATGCTGTCCTTCCCCAAGTTTTAACAATAGTGTGACGCTAATTTTTAGGGCCTTTGTAGCCTTGTCTCAATTCTTTAACTGGAAGAAAGATCTCCCTAAAATTGACTTTTTCTTTGTATTTAGTTTATAAAATTGATTGCTCTTTAAATTAAAAAAATTAACAGAGAGAGGAAGTCAATAATGTCAGAGAAACAAAATTCTGTATAGGATAGAAAGTTACAGTATACCATATGGCTCAGCAATAATCAGCATTTCCATAATCCGAATCGTGATCTAACCATATACTGTCTCTATATTATGAAGACAGAGGAAAGACTGGACGTGGTGGCTCATGCCTGTAATCCCAGCACTTTGGGAGGCTGAGGTGGGCGGATCATGAGGTCAGGAGATCGAGACCATCCTGGCTAACATGGTGAAACCCCGTCTCTACTAAAAATACAAAAAAATCAGCCAGGCGTGGTGGCGGATGCCTGTAGTCCCAGCTACTTGGGAGGATGAGGCAGGAGAACCACTTGAACCCAGGAGGAGGAGGATGCAGTGAGAGCCACTGCACTCCAGCCTGGGCGACAGAGCAAGATTCCGTCTTTAAAAAAAACATAAAAAAAGAAGACGACAGAGAAAAATGTTAACTGTGTGAAAGAAATCGAAACTTCCCAATTTCATATTAGAGGAAAAAATCCTGATCAAAATGGTTAATATATATCAGAAAACAGGAGAAATTTTAGTATGTACATTAACTGACAAAGTACCAATAACCAGAATACATAAAGAACTTTTACAAACCCATATGTAAAAGCCAAACTGAAAAATGGCCAATAAAAAAAAAAAAAAACACTTTTTAAAAAGAATTCACACACATGAGAAATCAAGTAGAAGCCACATATAAGAACTCATACAATAGTGGTAGGGTATGAACTGGCAGAATTCAACAGGAAAAGTTTGTATTATCTTCTAGTATAAGATATACAAACCTTTTAATTCAGCAATCCCATGCCACTGTATATACTCTAGAAAAACTCCAGAAAAACATATATACTCTAGAAAAACATACTTATGTGCACCAAGGTACATATATAAGAATGTGCAGAGTAGCATTTCCTAGTTGTTAAAAACAACTGAAACATACGTCAACAGTAAATAGATAAACTGCAGTACATTCATACAATGATTTATGTACATACAATGATTCTATGGCAATGACAATAAACCATATGCAAAACATGGATGACCCTTAGAAACCTTAGAGCGAAAGAATCAAGAATCAAAAGATTGCATACAGTAATGTTTCATTTATATATAAAAGCAGGCAAAACTACATTTTCTAGGGATGCATATATTGGCCAATAAATGCAGTAATAAAACTCAAAGAACAGCGATTACCATAAAAGACAAAGCGGTGGTCATCATTAGAGTGGAGAAAGAGAGGAATGTTTTCAAAAACAGATATATGAGGGGCTCCCAGGTGGTTATTATATAGCATTTGCTTCAATATTACACTGTTCACTTATATTTTACACCCCTTTCTACATGTTATATTTCACAATTAGAAAAAATCAACAATTTTAAGAAAATACAGGATTATAATACAGTTTGATTAGTCATATTTAAATATGCAGGTCAAATGGAAAGGCTAGTATCATCAGTAAATAGAAAGTGTCATGAGACAACTCAGCGGGACTGCCTCAGGAGAGAGCACTGGACCTGGGGGTAACTTCCTGACGCAAATCCAATCATGAATAGGATCAGAAAATGCACTTTAAAGCTAGCTCTGAGAGCCCAAAAATTCAGAGTTGAAAAGAAACCAGACTGAATGAATCTCAAGTCAGAGTAAAAATTAACACTTTAAAATACATGACTACCTTAAAAAGTTATAAGTCTGTGAAACCTGGGAATGTTGTTTACATATAAATCCAACCATATTACCTCTTTATTCTGCCAAGTACAAGAGATAATTTTTTTTCCCCGAGTCGGAGTCTCGCACTGTTGCTCAGGCTGGAGTGCAGTGGCACGATCTTGGCTCACTGCAACCTCTGCCTCCCGGGTTCACGCCATTCTCCTGCCTCAGCCTCCAGAGTAGCTGGGACTACAGGCGCCTGCCACCATGCCCGGCTCATTTTTTGTATTTAGTTGTATTTTTAGTAGGTTTCACCATGTTAGCCAGGATGGTCTCAATCTCCTGACCTCATGATCCGCCCACCTCGGCCTCCCAAAGTGCTGGGGTTATGGCGTGAGCCACCGTGCCCGGCCAAGAGGTAATTTTAAAATTAAACATACAAATGGTTTCCAAGCTCAAAGGAAAATATTTTAAGACATACAAAACTCATACAGATACAACAGCATCACAGCACACTTACTGGAATTAGGAGTTGTTCCAGAGCCAAACGCAGACTGACTAGGTTGCTGTCCAAACACAGGGGGCTGACTACTGCTTGACACTGTCCCAAAAGTAGGTGGTGCAGGCTGAGAACCACTGGAAAATAATGCTGTGGAAGATGATATAGATCCAAAGCCTGGGGGATTGGGCTGGCTGGCACCTTGACTTTGTCCAAATGTTGGGGTCTGGTTAGCACCAAATGCTGGACTGGCAGATGGTGCTGAAGGTCCAGTTCCAAATACGAAGGAGGATCCTGGAGGCCCAAAGACACACTTAAGTCGCCATGGTGGCTAATGTCAGATTATCCTCAAGAAATTTCTGAAAACCCACAAGCAAATGTCAAGCTTCTTTTCAGACTCTTACCTTGTTAACCAAATTCCATCAAGACAAGTTTTAAATAATGATTGAGAATACAACTCTCTCTACCATTATTTAGTGAAACATACTAAATTCATATAAACAAAAACTGCAATTAACAACTACTCCATACCTTCACAGCCAACAATTTTTGGTAAAGGAACATATCTCAGAAAAGTCTCCCACCAGAAATCTAATGTGTGCAGAAATCACCTCATGATGTGCATATATATATATATACACATACTGCATAATAAAGACTGATGTTTAATAAAACAACTTCCAGTGTCTGGTGACTGACAACCTAACATTTTAAAAACAAAGTTTGGGGCTGGGCACAGTGGCTCACGCCTGTAATCCCAGCACTTTAGGAGGCCGAGGTGGGCGGATCACGAGGTCAGAAGTTTGAGCCTGGCCAACATGGTAAAACCCCATCTCCGCTAAAAATACAAAAATTAGCCAGGTGTGGTGGCAGGCACCTGTAATCCCAGTTACTTGGGAGGCTGAGGCAGGAGAATTGCTTGAACTAGGGAGAGGGAGGGTTGCAGTGAGCCGAGATCGCACCACTGCATTCCAGCCTGGGTGACAGAGCAAGCCTCCATCTCAAAAGAAAAAAAACAAAAACAAAAAACAAAGCTTGGAAAAATTAAGTATTACACTCTTACCACAATGAGAAAAATGGCTCCCAAGAGGTAAATATGTTAAAGTTGTACATACAGTGATTAATTACAACAACCCTGGTATAGATGACCAAAAGGCATTCACACCATTTTGTGATAACCTGCTATATGTTATTTGCTAATAAGTAAAGCCCATCCAATTGCAATGCATTTTTTTCTTTTGTAAATGTACCTGCAGAGCTAGACGTGGTCGTGGCTCCAAAGCCGAAACCAGAGGTGGCAGTATTATTACTGCTGGCTCCTGGACCAAAGACAAATGGGGTGACAGCTGTACCTGTGCTGGATGTGGTTGCTAGTTTGCTATCTTGAGAAAATAGCAAAGACTGAGAGGTGCTGGATTCAGCAGTGTTACCAAAGGCAGAGCTGCTCACAGGATTGCTGGACTGTCCAAACACAAAGGTAGCCACGGGTGGATTGGAGGAAGAGGTGGAACTACCAAATATGCCACCACCAGCAGAAGTGGCTGGTGTACTTGAACTAGAGGAATTGTTGTTCAAGAAACTAAAAACTGGCTTTGCTGCACCTTGATCTGTAAGACAGAAATTAAGAAACAAACATAAATCCTTAAGAATAGTCTCAGAAAGTACTTTTTCCTTACCCTACAATCACCAGAATTTTCCTACCCTAAAATTCGCTAGAAAAGTAGGTTAAGTTTTTTATATAGATTAATTCATCAAATGGACATCTGTTTATATTAGATTTTGACAAAATCAAATACATTCATCTTCTTTTATAGCTTATGGATTTTGCGCCTTTCACAGGAAGGCCTCAGGCATTCAGGTTAATAAAAATACCCCTCGAATCCAAATCTAACTGGATACTGTAGTTGAACAGCAAGTTTAGATAGCGGAAGATAGCTGTACTTTTATATATTTAATTTTGCAATTTATGTTACAGTATGTGGCAAAATCATAACTTCAATTTATCTAAATGGATAGCCAAATTTCTCCACAGCATCAACTAGTACAGGCTTTGTGCACTAATTTGCAATGTTGTCTTTATGACACACTACATTTCCTAAAATGCATATACTTGTTTCCTCTACCGTTATCACTAGACTGTTTTAATTATTCCAACTTTACACCATGGACTGATGATAGCAGAACAAAGCTGCCTGTGTGCCTGCCTTTTTTCCCAAAATTTCTTGTATAGTTTCCTTTCCATGTGAATTTTAGAGTAAGTTTAGCTTGTCAAGCTCTACAAAAATTCCCCTAAGAACTAAAATTATGGGAGGAGGAAGGGAATATCTTTGCCCAGCAACAAGTACGCCTTTTGTGTTATTATTTGGCATGTTAAAAGTTCTGCTGCTTTTATAAAATACAAGTTAGAAATGTTAGAAAAAAACAAATGAGATATGCCGATTTGAAGAAAAACTTTTGATTTTTATATCATGATTCTGAATCCAGCCACCTTATTGAAGACTTTTTTCTAAACTATTCCAATAATCTCTCAGTTCCAATACTTCACACTATGCAGGGCTGGTCACAGTATGCTATCGGCATTAGTCTGACTTACAGAAAATGGAACACGTTGGCTCACTTTCAAGCTGGCTAATGGAAGAATGGTTAAGAGTGTCTACCACAGCCTGGTGTTTCACCATCAAATCTGATTAGACCCTATCATATTTCTGTTGCTTTCCAAATAATATGTAATTTTAGCTTTTATTTTATCTTTATATTTCTAAGTAAATATATGACAGACAAAAAACTGCTCATAGTTATTTGTTGAATTCCATATAAAAGTTAATTTTGAGTGTTTCCAATTTATTATCCAAAAGTATTCATGGATATTCAACTTTTGCACTTTTTGCACATCTAAAAACACCTGTATTTTGCCTCTGTGTTTGTTGTTGTTGTTGGGTTTTCTTGAGACAGAGGCTCGTTCTGTTGCCCAAGCTGGAGTGCAGTGGCCAATCTCAGCTCACTGCAACCTCTGCCTCCCAGGTTCAAGAAATTCTTGTGCTTCAGCCTCCTGACTAGTTGGGATTACAGGTGTGAGCTACGGCACCCGGACTGTCTTTATACTTAAACACATTTGGCTAGTAACAGAATTCTAGGTTCAAGAACATTTTCATTTTGAGGGTACTGTTCTGTTTTAGCATGTGATGTTGCAAATTAGAAGATGATGCTAATCTGGTATCTTCCTATTTGTGGCAAATAGCTTTTCTCTCTGAAAGCATTTGGGGTTTTAGCTTTGGTGTCCTAAATTTCAGTGATCTTTGCCAATAGGTAATTTCCATTTTTAAGACCAATGTCTTTCTTTAGATCTAGAAAATTTTCTTCTGTCACTTCTTTGATATTCCCCCAAAACTTCTTATCTTCTAGGTCACTCCTGTTCCAGAGGAACTTGTGGATCTAACTTGGATCACTCTTTGTACTTGTGCACTAAGTTCAGGGAAATTCTAGTTCACTAATCTGATGATCAGCTATGTTCTTCCTGCTATTCCGCCCACAGAATGACTTTAATATGATCCACCAACAATGATGCTTTTAACCTTTAAGGTGCTGTGTCATTTTTTTTTCCCCCAGGACTTCAGCTTTCAAAATCTCTTGGTTTCTCAGGATTAATTATATTTGTTGTCTATGTTTCTTAATGTCTGATGAGGACTGGTTATCTGTAACTATTTATAAACAATACCATAGATTATGGTAGAAAATACTTCATAAGCTAAGAATCCTTATTTTCCAGGTAGTAGATACCAATTCTGATTATAAAAGCCCAAACAGAAGAGAAAGACACACATAAATATGCACTATATTGAGCTTTGCATTACTGCCGTATTTCTCAAAATTAGATCCACAGATGACTTCATCAGAATCATGAGGGTTTTAAAGAGTGGTTCAAACTGAAAATCCTAGGTTCCTTCCCAAAGAGTTCTGTATTTCTCAACTACGTTCAGTGCAAACCATTACTTGACTTGCTGCATCTGTAAAGGCAACTTGTAAAAAAAATAATAAAGTTAATACTTACCAGCTGTAGTACTAGTTTGAGCTCCAAAGGCAAAAGTGGCTTTTGCTGGCTGTTCAGATTCCTTCTCAGATGGTTTTGTCATGCTAAAACTAAATGTGGACTTGGAAGAATTCTCATCTTTGGTTTGCTCTGAATTCCCAAAGGAAAACACTGGTTGACACTTTGGCTCTTCATTGTCAGCTTTCTTCCCAAAAACTAGGGAAGTAGAAGTGACAGGCTCTTGCTGTTTCTCTTCTGTCCTTCCCAAAACAAACACTGAGGCAGATGGCAGAGAGGCAGGCTCCACATTGCCAAAAGAGAATCCTCCTTTGGTGGCTGGCATTTCTTCTTTTTTAGCTTCTGATGTCTTACATGTGAAAGGAGCCACTGAAGCACTCTTGGTTTCTATGGTTCCAAAGTTGAAGCTGCTCTTGTTCTCAGAGGTCACTATGGTGTTAGCAGGAGCAGGAGTGGAGTTAATAACACCTGTACCAAAGCTAAAACCTGCAGATGAACATTTGGGCAGTTCCTCTTTCTTTTCTTCCTGTCCAAGATTAGACACCCCAAATTGAAATGGAGTTAAAGAAACTGGGTTGCTTAAACCAGAAGAAAGTCCAAACTTAAAATTATCATTCTTACTATCTTTTTTAACTTCTTCGGGCTTAGATTCAGATGATACTCCAAATTTAAAATCTCCTATTGGTTTAGAAAATTTAAAGCCTTCACTCATGGGGTTTACAGACCCAGAATCAGATGACACACCTATTTTGAATCCTCCCTGATCTCCAAATTTGAAATTTCCAGTGCTTGTTAAAGCCTGAGAAGGCCCAGAAGAGGGTGATGGGACACCAAATTTGAAGGATGAGGAGGCTGCTGAGTTCGAAGATGAGGAAGATGTGTCAAAGCCTGCAAAAATATAAAAGACACCACATAGACAATTAATGTACTGATGCTCTCAAACAAAATATAAACATCTTGAACGCCAAAGAAACATAGGAATAACTTTGAAAGGGTCTACTTTGAAGAGTATTACCAGCAGTCGTAAACATAATTCAAGGTGACCAATATTTATGTGGTATGAGAATTGTATCTCACTCCTCACAACTATCCTGACATGCCACTTTTCATTTATCAGACTGGCTGAGATAAAGTTTGATAAAGTTTATACTGGCAATGAGACTGGAAGTAACAGGCTACACATTGCAGGTGGGTGTATAAATGAGCACAAAACTCACAAGGAGCAATCTGTCACTAGTTACCAAAAATTACAAATGCATATATCCTTTGACAAGCAACTAACTGACCTTACAATAATTCAGAAACAGATATAAACATCTCAGGATAATCTCATTTTATATTAATTTTCAAGAGAGAATGAGTGAACACTGAAGCTGTTCTCAAATACTTCATTTTTAAATGGCCTTACAAAAAGGCGCTTTACCATCACCTTTATTTTTATTTTTTTGGCCTTACCTTTAAACCCAGATTTTGTGCCTGGCTTTGCACTTTCACATGCCAAACATTTGGTAGAGTCAGCCTTATTCTGCACTAGGCACACTTCACAGTCCCAGCTCCCCTCAGGCTTCTTGAACTTTTCCAATCCTAGAGAGCCTCCAGAAGGCAGAGAGATGGGTACAGTGCTGCTACTTGAAATAGGTACTGAACTTCCTAAAAAAAAAAAAAAAAAAAAACAGGGAGTGGGGAGGGGCAGAATTCATGAAAATTTTAATTTATAATATGTCAGTATCTCAATGACATCCCTAAGTTTAAGTGTTGAATTTCTAATAATATTTCCTATTAAAACACAGAACGTGCCAGAAATACGAACAATTGTTCATATTTATATTGTTTAAAAAAAAGAATAGAACTCTCAGATTTATTTTAACCATATAAATGAGCAGCTCAAAATCACCTTGCTCAGTGGTGAGCTCCCTCTTAACCACATGTTTGAACTGCTGTGGCTTAAGAAAAAAAATCATGCTCACCAATTAGGGGCTCAAATACTAAATTTTTCTTAAGAATATTTTTCAAATTTCTTCAAACAGCAAGCATTCTAAGACATAAGATGTAAATTGTAGGCACTATCCTAACATATAAAATACATAGTCACAGACCATATGAATTTCCAGATTTCAAAGCATAGATCTCTGCCTCTGAATGATAGTTTTTACATAGAAGTGCATCTACTTCACATCCACTTCACAATCTAACTTGACAACTACTATATTCATGGCATTTCTGTTACATGCTAGCCATTTAACAGACATTTATTAAGCATCATAACACACTTGGGTTCTGGGGACATTAAAGATGAATAAAATGTTGCTTAACTTGTAAGATGCTCATGGTCTTAAAGGGGGAAAATAAAAGCACAGTAGCACCATCACCAAGTGACAACCTAAAACAAGTGTGCAAAGAAGGAAGAAATGACTAAGAAGCAGGAGAAGGATATACAGAGGTGACAAATCTTAAGCAGAACTAGCATGTTTGTGGGAGAGGTGGCACACAAAGAATGGCTTGGTAAGGCCCAAAATATGGTGCTGACAGTGAAGCCATTCATTCTGGTATTCCTACTTCTCTAGATGGCCTACAACTGTTGCCACCTCTTCCATAGTTACCTAAATGATCTCTACATTTTATAGGTATGTTCTCTTCTATCTTGCCAACCAAATTGCTCCCTGGGGTTCCATCTTGGCCCACTGTCCTCACAAGCTCTCATTTACTCCAGTGGTTTTAAATTCCAACAAAACAGTTTCCTAATCTACACTTCTGAGCTTGTCACTGTAGTCTCTTAGTTGGTGACTCCACTGTCTACTTGGTTAGCCTGGCTGGATACTACTCCTCCTCTACATTTTTCTCAAATCTATTTCAATCAATTTCTGACTCTTCTGCTGCTATTCTGGTTCATGCACCCCCAACATTACCCCAACCACTACCCCATCTCTTGCTTGAATAATAGCCTTTTTATGGAGACCTCTGATCTTGTTCCTTTGAAATCCATCCTCCTCTGAAGCAACCAGTGCCATGTAGTTTTTGTTTTTCCTCTTTGTTGCACCTTTTTAAAAGATTAACTGTTCAAAAGCTTTATTCCTGCCACTCCCTATAAGCCAGCAGACTTTCATTTCAGGCCATCTTTTCTATTCACTCAACTCTACTCTCATGACTTCAAATACCAAAACTATGGACTAATGACCCCAAATCCACATCTCTACCCAAAGGCCTTACATACAACTTTTTTTTTTTTTTTCCTGAGACAGAGTCTCACTCTGTTGCCCAGGCTGGAGTACAGTGGCACAATCTCGGCTCACTGCAACCTCCACCTCCCAGGTTCAAGCTGTTCTCCTGCCTCAGCCTCCCAAGTAGCTGGGATTACGGACATCCACGACCATGCCTGGCTAATTTTTGTATTTTTAGTAGAGACAGGGTTTTGCCATGTTGGCCAGGCTGGTCTCAAACTCCTGACCTCAGGTGATCTGCCTGCCTCAGCCTCCCAGAGTGCTGGGATTACAGACGTGAACCACCATGCCTGGCCACATTACATACATCTGAATGTTGACATCAGCATCTTGAAATCAATGTCTTTAATTGTACGTCCTCCATTCCTTATTCAGTTCAATCAGTCCATTATCTATTGCCTATATCGGCGGGGGAGGGAGGGGGTGGTCCAACCTTTTGGCTTCCCTAGGCCACACTGGACAAAAAGAATTGTCTTGAGCCACATGTAAAATATACTAACACTAGCAACAGCTGATGAGTTTAAAAAAAAATAAAAAATAGCAAAATAATCTCATAATGTTTTAAGAAAACTCACAAATTTGGGTTGAGCCTCATTCACAGCCATCCCGAGCCACATGCACCCCGCAGGTGTACAAGCTTGGCTTTTTTTTTTTTTTTTTTTTTTTTTTGAGACTGAGTCTCGCTCTGTCACCCAGGCTGGAGTGCAAGCGGCATGATCTCGGCTCACTGCAAGCTCCACCTCCCGGGTTCATGCCATTCTCCTGCCCCTGCCTCAGCCTCCCGAGTGGCTGGGACTACAGGCGCCTGCCACCACGCCTGGCTAATTTTCTGTATTGTTAGTAGAGACAGGGTTTCACCGTGTTAGTCAGGATGGTCTCAATCTCCTGACCTCATGGTCCGCCCACCTCGGCCTCCCAAAGTGCTGGGATTACAGGAGTGAGCCACCACGCCCAGCCTATCATTATTTGAGACAGGGTCGAACTCTGTCTGGAGTGCAGTGGCATGATCTCAGCTAACTGCAACCTCCACCTTCCGAGCTCAAGCAATCCTCCCACTTTGGCCTCCTAAGTAGCTGGGACTACATGCGGGTGCCACCAAGCCAGGCTAATTTTTGTGTTTTTTGTAGAGACAGGGCTTCACCATGTTGCCCAGGCTGGTCTTGAACTGCGTTCAAGCAATCTACCCGCCTTGGCCTCTACCAGTGCTTGGATTACAGGCGTGAGCCACGGTGTCTGGCCTACTGTCTATATGATTGATACCACTTCCTAATCTATCTTCTGGTCTCCAAATTTTGTTGTTTTCAAATCCATTATCTAAAAAGCCAGAGTTGACTCATCAAAAATACGAACTTGACTGTATCGCTCCTCTGCTGAAAATGATGGTTCATCACTGAAAGGATGAAGTCCAAGTTCTTTATGTGAGCTTCCTTTGTTCATGTGTAACAAATTACTTCCTGACTCAAGGTTCTGTTACTCCCCATCAACTTAAAATTAATTTTGCTTTCTTGCATACATCAAGGGCTTTCTTTCTGTAGGTGAGGCAGGGGTACCAGATAGGAAGACAAAGATATTTCATAATGAAGATTCTAGGCCAGGCACGGTGGCTTACCCCTGTAATCCCAGCACTTTGGAAGGCCAAAGCAGACAGATCATTTGATGTCAGGAGTCAGAGACCAGCCTGGCCAACATGGCGAAACCCTGTCTCTACTGAAAATACGAAAAATTAGTCGGGCGCGGTGGCATGCACCTGTAATTCCAGCTACTCGTGAGGCTGAGGCACAAGAATTGCATGAACCTGGGAGACGGAGGTTGCAGTGAGCCAAGATCGTGCCACTGCACTCCAGCCTGGGTGACACAGTGAGACTCTGTCTCAAAAAAAGGAAAGAAATGAAGATTCTAAAATCTCACTCATAGGGAAATATCCAGTAGGAATCAGAAATATGGCACGAGGGTTCAGGCAAGGGGTCTAGGGTTAGTAACTCAGAGCTGTACATTACGGACACAAAACTGCGTATTCATGAATAATGCATTGAAAACAGTGTAATTCCCCGGATATCCATATTATCATATATCTGCACCATATAATTATATAATATTACAAAACCATCAGAGCCACTCCTGGATGAATTAAAGATTCAATATGAATCTTCACTAATTCTTCCAACTTTGAACAGAGGAACAGAAAAAACTCAAAACTAACTCCATTGTTTCTGGCTGCCTAGATGAGAATTAGTGACTTGGTAATTTACAATCATTGCAACAGCTATAGCCTCTTCATTAACGACTATAGCCTACCCCTTAAAGAAACCTTCTCTGTATATGACCACTAGCTATCCTGATTTCTATATTGAGAAGTAGTATTTTACTCTATACAAAGGTTTGAGAAATATTACCCCATTCTAAGATCTTTCAGCATGGGTATTAGTCAACTTTGAACAAATTTCTGATAAAATTGTACAGAAAGAGGAGATTGGCATATATACCAGAATAGTTAACACATAACCTATCCTAACTGAACATAAAGATCTAGCTGCAAACAAGACATTTTTATCTCAAGATAGTTTAGAAAAATTAGTATGTATGAGAAATGCTCATCCTGAAACATCTAAAACAGGGATTCTTAGAATAAATTAAAATGTTCGACTAAAGTAATAAGCAAAATTACTCCATAAAGCCAAAAACATACCTGGTTTCTCAGACATACAGGACACACATTTATTGTCTTCTGCGTTATTAGAAACACAGCATACTGAACACTCCCAAGATCCAACAGGCCTTTTGAATTTATCTCCAAATCCTAAGGTACCAGCGGTCACAGTGCAGCTGGAAGATGAAGCAGTCATAGTCTCAGCACTTTCCGAAACCACTGTCAATGTAAGAGCTCGCTTCACACCAGTTCCAGGTTTCGGTGTTTCACAGGCTACACATTTTATCACTTCAGGTTTATTTTGCACTAAACAGGTATCACAATCCCAAGTGCCTATCACTGGTTTAAATTTGTCTCCAAAACCTGTCCCTGGTGCAGAAAGAGTTGTTTTGCCACTTTTGTTTGGTGTTTCAATTCCAGTCTGTTTAGCAGTATCTCTGGGTGACAATTTTGCTGCTTGACAGGCTATGCATTTGTTGTCTGTAACTTTGTTCTGGAGTAGACATGTATCACACTGCCATGATGACCCAGCTTTTAAACTTTCCCCAAACCCAATTCCACTAGAAGAAAAGCTACTTATTGCTGGTCTTGTATAAACTACTGGGCTTGTTGTGGTGGGCTGAGCAGCAACAGAATCTATCTTCGGTGATGCGAAACCTACAATGAACAAAGGAGAGAGTGCAAAAACAACGTTAGAGAAGCTTTATAAATCAAAGCATTAATTTGATTATTACTGAGAAGACATTTACCTCACTGCACACTTACTACAATCCAAGATGAACTACTTAAGAGTTGTTTTTCACTTAATCATATTTATCATTCACCTAGTAAGTTAGACTTAGACCATTTAAAATTCCACAAAAGATGTTGTGTTTACAGGATATCACCTCCTCCTTCAAGGAATTTCTAGCTGGATGCTTTCCTTGGCTAATTTACTGATAGGTATTATTGCCATCCATATTTTGTTATATTCTGTCTTTCTACAAACACAGAATACTCAGTCCTCTTACTCCTTCATCCGTTTCTTCTTTTGTGTTCCACTGACTATGCCAAATGGCTTCAATATCATCTTTAAATTTTGTCCAGTCATAACCTACCACTGTGCTATCCTCTAGCTTCAGTAAAATCAGCTGAGCAAGTCTTTGTGTTACCAAAACTGCTGTCATTGAGTTCATTCACTCAAGCTATATTTTACTCATGAGAATGACTTTGTAATGTTTACTTAGGACCAGTTAACTTTTGTCTTACACACACCAACACCATCTGTGATCTGTTTCTACAGCCTTTACCCGCCAAAGAAAAATTAAAAGGAAAGAAGATGTAGACGGTTACGAGAGGTTTTCTAGTTCCACAAAATAATCAAGCCTAGAGCTATTTTTAGCCTAAGGACAAAATACCACATACTTGAGTTATTCCTAGTGGTCAACATGTGTTATTTTGCTTATGATTAATTTACATCACTAAGATTGGCAATATGTTAACAGTAACCATCTCAAGGCATTACAGATTTTTTTCTTCCCACTTTTTCAGATTTTCCTAATTTCAGTCAAATGAAGATTCTCCTCAAACGTTTCCTATTTAAGAAGTAAAAAGGGAGCCGGGGGAGGCTGGCATCATGAATGCAAAGTGTAACCCCAGATACATAAGACAGACTATACACATTTGATGCTTGCCTACTACTTGGTTAATTCGAGTACAAGCATTCTGGAGTTCTGCCATAACTGCATGGAACTGTCTAAGCTACTGGACTCCTGTAGGGAGTATGCTTATCTATAAAATGAGAGAGCTGGACCACAAAAATTGAATGCTTCTAAATCCTGCTGTAAAAGCCAATCTTACTTTTTAAAAAAACCTATCCTATTACACATGGACACATCTGGTGGGTAAGTTTAAATTATTTCTGAGCTATTAGATTATCTCGCAGACAATTTTACATTCTTTTTTTTTTTAAAGTCTTGCTCTGTCGCCCAGGTCAGAGTGCAATGGTTCAAACTCAGTTCACTGCAACCTCCACCTCCCAGGTTCAAGCCTCCTGAGTAGCTGGGACTATAGGTGCACGCCAGCACGCCCAGCTAATTTTTTCTATTTTTAATGGAGATGAGGTTTCGCCATGTTGGCCAGGTTGGTCTCGAACTCCTGGCCTCAAGTGATCCACACGTATTAACCTCCCAAAGTGCTGGGATTACAGGCGTGAGCCACCGCGCCCGGTCAGTTTTACACTCTTAAACTACACGTCACAAATGGAATTAGGAACATCCTCTTTGTTTTCAAACAAAAAATTATTCTTATCTGAGAATTATTTATCCCCTTTCTAATTATTACCTACTAGCTTTCAAATCTTGCTTCAATTCAAGTGAGTAATGTTCCCTATGTATGTTATAATTCAGCAAATGCTTTCCACTTGGCCTTGTTCCATATTTACCAAACTGGGGAATAATTCAAGAAGGCAGTTCAGCGCTATCGTAAGAGAAAGACATGTCTATGTGTATCATCAGGTTTACTCCCTCTTTAGTCCTTACCAGCCTGTCTCTATTAATGGAGAATCCATTTTCTCCTCCTACATTTGCCTCTGAGAGATTTCATTTTAGTATAGTCCTTAAATTCCAAAGAAGTAAGGCTTGTAAGATATTTCCAGCAAAAGAATTACACCTAACTATATCTCTATTCAAAAGTAAATCTCCTACCAAACTAGTCAGAAATTTTTAAAAGCCTCAAGTATAATACAAAATGACATTAAAATGAGATCATGAGTTTGTAATTAAAAGGCTTATCTTTTAATTATCTTACCAGGGCTTTTTAGAATATCTAGAACACTTCCTTCTTTCAGGATTTTTGCAGGTCTAAAAGGACCCTCACAATCTTCAGGTGGTGTCTTCTTACAACTTGTACTGTTCACTGCAGTGACATCGTGAGCTGTAATATTTTTAATTGTAAAAAACATTATGCCAAATAAAACACTGGACTCTTAAATGCATTTTAAAAAATCTTTCAAAACCATCTTTTGGATAAGAGTTCATGAAAAAAGTCACTGTAATTCAATAAACAAATGACTTTATAGGGTTAATTTGCCATTACAAGGAGATAAAAACACTATTCCCATACTGTATAACTCCCCCCACCAATAAAAAGGCAAAAAAATATAAACTATAACTGTTGCCCAATGAACTGACTGATAATCAAAAAACTCAAACTAAAAAACTGGAGAGGATATGGCAACTAGGGCAAGTCCATCCACTGCATGAAATATCTATTTGATTACACAACAATTTACAAAACTAATCAAAAAATTAATTTTCAACTGAGCAATTATTTCATTTTTAGAAATTCACACTATTAATATAATCGAAAATATCCTTCAGTTATAATATTGAAAACCTATATGGTAAAATATTTAATAAGGGATGGTTACATAAATTATCTAACAGTGACATGATGAAATACTTATGCAGCCACAAAAACCATTCTTTTTCAAAACAGAGAGTGAGTGTTCTGGTTGTGAGCAAGGCCGGAGTGCAGTGGTGCAATCACAGCTTAATGCAGCCTCAAACTTCTGGGCTCAAGCAATCCTTCCATCCTAGCCTCTCAAGTAGCCAGGAACACAGCTGCATGCCACCACATCTAGCTAACTATTTTTACTTTTTTGTAGACATGGGGTCTCGCTATGGCTGGCCAGACTGGTCTTAAACTCCTGGCCTCAAGTGATCCTCCCACATTGGCCTCCTAAAGCACTGGCATTACTGGCATGAGGCATCATGCCTGGCCCACAAAAATCATTCTTAAAGGCATAGTTATGGGTAAAAGCAGGTTGGAAAGTCTAGAATGTTTACATCTAAAGAGTAATGGTAGCTGCTAGCAGTAAGATGAGTGACTTACTGCTTTTACTTTTTATGCTTTCTAAACTTGTATCCTTATATTTAGAGATCTGTATTTTCAGTGTGATAATGGTTTTATCGTTGTATTTTTAAGGGGCGATTTCTATTTACAGATGAAATTAAGATGTTTGGGATTGTTTCAAAGTGACCTGACATGTAAGTTTCTGTGTGTGATGAGGAGAGGAGGGATGGAACAAAAGAAACAATAAGAAACAAGATGTGGCCAGGCACAGTGGCTCGTGCCTGTAATCCCAAGCACTTTGGGAGGCCAAGGCGGGCAGATTGAGATCATCTTGGCCAACATGGTGAATCCCCATCTCTACTAAAAATAACAAAAATTAGCTGGGTTTGGTGGTGCACACCTGTATTCTCAGCTACTTGAGAGGCTGAGGCAGGAGAATCGCTTGAACTTGGGAGGCGGAAGTTGCAGTGAGCCAAGATCGTGCCACTGCACTCCAGCCTGGTGACAGAGCGAGACTCCATCTCAAAAAAAAAAAAAAAAAAAAAAAAAAAGCCAGGCAGCGGTGGCTCACGCCTGTAATCCCAGCATTTTGGGAAGCCGAGGCAGGTGGATCATGAGGTCAGGAGATCGAGACCACCCTGGCTAACATGGTGAAACCTCGTCTCTACTAAAAATACAAAAAATTAGCAGGGTGTCCTGGCAGGTGCCTGTAGCCTATAGTTTCAGCTGCTCGGGAGGCTGAGGCAGGAGGTGCCTCAGTGAACCCGGGAGGTGGAACTTGCAGTGAGCCAAGCTTGCACAACTGCACTCCAGCCTGGGCAACACAGCGAGACTCTGTCTCGAAAAAAAAAAAAAAAAAAGAAAGAAAGAAAGAAGAAACAAGATGGGTCAAAATGGTAAAAGTTGAAGCTGGCTAAATAGCATATTGCGATTCAGTTTACAATTATACTTCTGAGAATGAAGTTTTCCATAATGAAATATACTAATAACCAAGTTTTCCTTTTTAAGTGTTTGCCTAAATAATTTAAAAAGTAGTAGGTAAAGTACTTTGGAAAAAAACCTTTCCCTACCTCACACCATAAACAAAAATTCAAAATGATCAATATCCATTTAATACAACATAAACATCATAAAACTCTTAGAAGAAAACTTAGGGAGCATAGTTTCAAGACCATGGATTTGGCAATGTATTCTTAGATATGATACGAAAAGCACAGCAACAGAAGAAAAAAATGGACTTCATCAAAATTTAAAACCTCTGTCCATTCAAAGAAATTATCAAGAAAGTGAAAAGACAATCTATAAATGGGAAAAAATCTCTGCAAATCATGTATCTGGTAAGGATCTAGTGTACAGACTAAGAACTCTTATAACTTAGTAACAAAAAGACAAACTTATTTAATGGGTAAAGGACTTGAAAGGCATTCCTCCCCTAAGATATTTAAATGGACAACAAACACCTGAAAAAATGCAACATCATTTGCATTAGGGAAATGCAAATCAAAACTACAACAAAGTATTACTTTACATCCACTAGGATTGCTATAGTCAAAAAAGAGAAAATACTAAGTGTTGGTGAAATTGTGTTACTGCTAGTGGTAATGTGACATGGTTCAACTACTGTGGAAAACAGTTTAATGATTCTTCAAAAAGTTTAATACAGAACTACCATCTGACCCATCAATTCCATTCCTAGGCACATATGAAAAAGCACTGAAACCAGTACTCAAACAAATACATGTACACTTATGTTCACAGCAGCACTATTCACAATAGCCAAATGGTAGAAACAGTCCAAATGTCCATTAATGGATGAACAAATAAACTGTGGCACATCAATACAATGGAATATTATTCAGCCATAAAAGGAATGAAGTATTGAGGCATAAGAACCTTGAAACCACTGTGCTTAGTGAAAGAACTCAGCTGTACAAAGCCACATTATATGATTCTACTTACATGACATATTCAGAGTAAGTCAATCCATAGAGACAGAACACAAGTTGACAGTAGCTAGGGGGAAGGCAGAATGGGGAGCAACTTTTTAACGGACAGGGGTTTCCTGCTGAGGGTGATGTTTTGGAACTAGATAAAAGTGGTGGCTGCACAACACTGTGAAGGTACTAAAGGCCACTGAATTATTCCCTTTAAAATGGCTATATCATGTCAACTTCATCACAATAACGAAAATGTAGGCCAGACACGGTGGCTCATGCCTGTAATCCCAGCACTTTGAGACGTCTAGGCGGCCAGATCACCTGAGGTCAGGAGTTCAAGACCAGCCTGGCCAACATGACGAAACCCCATCTCTATTGAAAATACAGAAATTAGCCAGGCATGGTGGCAGGTGCCTGTAATCACGCTACTCGGGAGGCTGAGGCACAAGAATCACCTGAACGCAGGAGATGGAGGTTGCAATGAACTGAGATTGTGCCACTGCACTCCAGCCTGGGTGACAGAATGTGCAACACACCCCCCAACCATCCCCACCAAAAATAACCACCACCCTTACAACTATGCCAAAACAAAGAAAACTTATAATTTAATCACATTCTATCTTTCTTTATAATGAAAGGTAAATTGTTTTTAGTAATTTAAGGTAAAAATGTTAGGATTCCCTAAAGTATGCTCAAAAAGATGGGAAAAGGAGATAATGGAAAACTTAGCTCCTGTCACAAAGTAATCATGACTTCCACATTTTGAATTAGCTTTTTTAAATGATAGAAGTGGTGAGAACCAATGGTGTCAAAGTGAGAACACACAACTCTAAATACGACACTCATAACCGACTCCTTAAAAAATCTGGGTAACTTCCCGAGATATAATGAAACAAAGCTGTTGTAACAAATGGTTAATTATTCAGTTATCATTAGTAACGCATTAGCAAAAAGTGGGAAATATTTTAATGCCTTTTCTCATAATAAGTCATGAAATTGGTAATTTGAAAAGGTTTAATCCTCTTGAATTCATAGTTAACATTAAAGAAAAAAAAACCTTTGTGATAGGAAGTACAATGGAAATTGCTTATTAATTTCTATTACGTAAGGCTGTGTTAGCCAATAAAATAAAAAAGATAAGGTTGTGAACATACCAGTCAAATTCTTAGTTTGGGCCACTTCCATAATCTGGACTCTTATCTTCAAGATCATTCAAAGCCAAAGATATCTCATTAGCTTCTATGTCCTGATTCTTTTTGTTTTTTAATCTATCTTTTGAGGACCTAGTTTTTAAAAATTCCCAAACTCAGAATATCCTTGAAGAAATGCTTCTGGATAGGGTAATATCTCCCAACTCATGTTTCTGCCTCTAACACGCCACTCCAACGCATACTAACACTCACCACACTGCTATCACTATACTCAAATCCATCTCACCCCCAGGAAAAAATACATCTCCCTGCTGTAAGCAGAATAAAATCCAATTCATTAGCATAGAATTTCAGAACTTTTAGGATTTAAAGCTACCTCTCCAACCTCATGACAAATTATTTACAATTCTAAAGTGTGTCATGCTTTTTCTCTTTTTCCTGTGCCCTTGAGCTTTGTGTTTATATTTCTTGGGTAAAATGCCCTTGCTCAAAATTCTTGACCTGAGTAACTCAGCTCAGGTGTTTCTGATTTTCCCAAACACTTAAAAGAAAAACACCATTATAAAAAAAAAATTCGGCCGGGCACAGCTGCTCATGTCTGTAATCCCAACACTTTGGGAGGCTGAGGCGGGCAGATTACCTGAGGTCAGGAGTTCGTGACCAGCCTGGCCAAAACATGGTGAAACCCTGTCTCTACTAAAAATACAAAAAATTAGCCAGGGAGCCGGGCGTGGTGGCTTACGCCTGTAATCCCAGCACTTTTGGAGGCTGAGGTGGGCAGATCACGAGGTCAGGAGATTGAGACCATCCTGGCCAACACGGTGAAACCCCGTCTCTACTAAAAATAGAAAAAAATTAGCTGGGCGTGGTGGCGGGCGCCTGTAGTCGCAGCTACTCCGGAGGCTGAGGCAGGAGAATGATGTGAACCCGGGAGGCGGAGCTCGCAGTGAGCCGAGATCGTGCCACTGCACTCCAGCCTGGGGGACAGAGCGAGACTCTGTCTCACAATTAAAAAATAAAAAAAAATTAGCCAGCATAGTGGCAGGCACCTGTACTCCAAGCTACTAGCAGGAGAAATCACTTAAACTCGGGAGGCAGAGGTTGCAGTGAGCCAAGACCGTGCCATTGCACTCCAGCCTGGGCAACAGAGCGAGACCACGTCTCAATTAAAAAAAAAAAAATCTGTTTTAATTCTCTGATTATTTATTTCTCTCTTTTCTTTTATTTTAGATAGGGTCTTGCTCTATCAGCCAGCTCTAGTGTGGTAATGCAATCATAGCTCACTGCAGCCTCGACTTTCCGGGCTCAAGCAATTCTCCCACTTCAGCCTCCCAAGTAGCTGGGACTACAGGCTCACACCATCAACTGGCTATTTCTTTTTCTTTTCTTTTTTGGTAGGGATGAGTCTCGCTGTGCTGCCCAGAATCGTCTTGAACTCCTGGCTTCAAGCAATCCTCCAACCACAGCCTCCCAAACTGCTGGGTTTACAGGCATGACCCATGGCCTCCTTCCTTCAATGATGGTGATTTCTTCAGTTCAGAAATTATGTATCACAATCTACATGGGCCTGCATAACCTTTATACATAAAAATGCTTGTGAACTGAACGGTAAAAACTAGAAACAAAATCTACTACAACTGTAACGTAGACAACCTGTAAATTTCTTATAATGAGACTTGCTTTATAACTAATTTGTCACCTTGTTTTGACTAAACAAAGATAATGGATAAATTTGCTACCATGTCTATCTCAAAACCAAACTGACACTTTCATTTAGGGAGCTAAGTATCTCTGAAGATAATTAATAAAAAGCACTGTCAAAAGGTTAAATAATAGTGCCTACTTGCTTTTCAGAGCTAATTTCATCCAAATGAAGGCATTTATAAGAATTACCAAAGGTGAAAGAACTTGAAATACTAATCTACTGTATGCAATTGTTTTTATGTTAAAATGTGAGAAATTTTTACTTACCTGAACTACTTATAATTGGCTGTAAAGTACCAATAGAACCAGAAAGTTCTGCTGTTTTTGCAACAGGCACACTAAATGTAAATCCAATCTGTAAAGAGAAAGAATATCCTTATACTTAGTTTTCAATAAGTATCAAATATGGAGCTTTTTTTCTCTTTTACTTTTTTTTGAGACAGAGCTTACTCTGCCACCCAGGCTGGAGTGCAGTGGCGCAATCTTGGCTCATTGCACCCTCCGCCTCCTGAGTTCACACCATTCTCCTGCCTCAGCCTCCCAAGCAGCTGGGACTATAGGCGCCCACCACCATGCCCGGCTAACTTTTTCTACTTTTAGTAGAGACGGGGTTTCACCGTGTTAGCCAGGATGGTCTCGATCTACTGACCTCGTGATCGCCCGCCTCAGCCTCCCAAAGTGCTGGGATTACAGGCGTGAGCCACCGCGCCTGGCACAGATATAGAGCTTATTTGTATCCCAAGTCAAAAACATACTTTCACCTATTTTAAGACATGGTTTATCATATTTCACTATCTCTAAAAGTGAGATTCTTATATTAATGGCAATGTCACAATTTGACAGACAGCATTTTAAATTTCTCAGACATTTTTTCCTCCAAAACAGTATATAAAATAATGATGGTGTGTTCCTAATGTCCAGTTCCAGTTTCTGAATGCCATTTTCTTTCTTTTTTTTTTTGTTTTGTTTTGAGGTGGAGTTTCACTCTTGTTGCCCAGGCTGGAGTGCAATGGCACAATCCTGGCTCACTGCAACCTCTACCTCCTAGGTTCAAGCAATTCTCCTGTCTCAACCTCCTGAGTAGTTGGGATTATAGGCGTGCACCACCACGCCCGGCTAATTTTGTATTTTCTTTTTTTCTTCTTCTTTTTTTTTTTTTTTTAGTAGAGACAGTGTTTCACTCTGTTGGTCAGGCTAGTCTTGAACTCTTGACCTCAAGTGATCCACCCGCCTCGGCCTCCCAAAGTGCTGGGATTACAGGCATGCGCCACTGCGCCCGGCCTCGAATGCCATTTTCTAATAAAAAGTATGAGACTTCTGGGACAACTGATGGATTTCAGCATGTGGCAAGGAAATTACATTTGTCTGTAACATCTACTTGTGTCAGAAGGCAAGGACACAGTCAAAACCAGAAATTGACATATTAAAATAATATAAACATGCCAAATCTGGGGCAGTTTGAATATTAAACTATGTATTATTCTTACCCCAAACATTTACTTTTCCATCATGAAAGAAAAAATGCCCAGAACTTTTCTAGATTAAAGGTCAATCAAGATACGTTTTAATTAAATGCAATATAATGTAGTTGATTAGGTCCTAGTCTTTAACTGGCTCTAGGACCAACAGAAATAAAACAGCAATTAAAGGACAGTCTGGGGATAATGGGGAAATCTGAATATGGACCATGTCGTTATTAGATCATGCCAAACATCTTGGGTATGATAGCTGTATTGTGGGGATGCAAAGGAATGTCCTTTTTCTTAAGGGATACGTGGAGAAGAATTAAGGAAATTCAGGTATTTGCATTTTAACTTTCAAATGGCACAAAAGAAAATGAATATTCATATGAGTACATTATGTAGTGAAGAATATACACAATTGTTCAAAAGTTTTTTACAGAGTATTTTTTAAGTTGGAAGAAAAATAATAGTGTTTCTCACCATCAATGGCATCTTAGATTTGATAAAAATATAACATGGCTTTATATATACTAAATATGTATATTTAGTATAAATAAATATATACTATTCCTTGCTTGTTACTTACAGATGATGGAGGTAGTACATCTGCCTCAGTAGACTTTACGATTGGAGATGAAAATTTAAACATGGGACTGCCAGTGCTGCTTGGAGAGGTCATTTGTACCTGATTTTCCAAATTATTAAGAAATGACACAAAAAGAGCTTTAGAAAAATAAAGTGATAATAAAAGACATTAAGCAAACTCATTATTCCAAAGACACTAAGTGTTTTTTTCCTTTTAAATTTAAAAATCTCACTTTAAGTTCTGAAAAACACAGAACTTAAGTGTTACAAAATCTGGTTTCCTCTTAGGAGTACACACAATCTTAGAGGTGGATATTTGTATAAAAAAGTAAAGTAACATCTATAAGAATATGTTCAGAAGAAGTCAAAGCAAGAAAGCAAGCATTAAAATTTCAGGAGCAGGCCAGGCATAGTGCCTCACACCTGTAATCCCAGCACTTTGGGAAGCCATGACAGAGAGAATTGCTTGAACCCAAGATTTCAAGACCAGCCTGGGTAACACAGCAAGACCTCACCTATAAAAATATTTTTTGGCCAGGAGTGGTGGCTCATGCTTGTAATCCTAGCACTTTGTGAGGCCAAGGCAGGCGGATCACCTGAAGCCAGGAGTTCGAGGTCAGCCTAACCAACATGGTGAAACGCTGTGTCTACTAAAAATACAAAAATTAGCCAGGCATGGTGGTGCACACCTATAATCCCAGCTACTCAGGAGGCTGAGGCAGGAGAATCGTTTGAACCCGGGAGGTGGAGGTTGCAGTGAGCCAAGATCATGCCACTGCACTCCAGCCTAGGCGACAGGGCGAGACTCTAAGCTCAAAAAATAAATAAATATTTAAAAAAAAATTTTTTTTAATTAGCTGGCTGTGGTGGTGTACATCTGTAGTCCCAGCTACTCAGGAGGCTGAGGTGGGAGGATCACTTGAGCCCAAGAGATGGAAGCTGCAATGAGCTGTGATTGCACCACTGCTCTCTAGCCTCGGCAACACAGCAGGACACCACCTCAAAAATAAAAAAAAATTCAGGAGCAGATTAAAAGATGTTAAGCCTAGCTGAGAAGTAAAAACATGAAACACTGAGTGCACTCCTGCCCAAAAAGTATCTTATTGGAAACACTACTTGGAAACAAATTTACAAGAATCTCCTTTGCTATGGTATTGCATAAGAGTTGATGAACACTCCATTATAATATATCCAATATATCTGTATATTTTTTTAAAAAAGCAAAACAGCATTTCCATTTCCGTTTACTATGAGTTATTAATTTCCATAATGAAAATTAACCACTGTTTATAGGATTTTTTAAAAATAAAGAATTAAGAAAGAACAAATGTCACCTGTATTTATACAATGGTTTTGTACCTTGTTTGTTAATGATTGAGACGAACTGATGGGTGATGGAGAGGAAGCTGTGATCTCAGGGGAACTAAAATTAAAAGTAGGCAATGAAGAACTGGTGATTGGTAGAGAGATTTTCGGTAATACCGGAACTTCCATTTCCTAAAACATAACATGTTGCATGATATATTTCATCTTTCACATCATTCTTTTATCTCTACTTATTTTCAGCATGAAAGTATACAGGAAGAAGATGGCACCATGTAGTGTTAACGTTGTGGGTTCTTCAATCAGAAAAACTAAACAAGATTTTTAATCCCAGCTGTGCCACCAACCAGCCATGTGACTTTGGGACCCTAACTGCCTTCTGTACCAATTTCCTAATTGGTAAAACTGAGGGGGAAAAAAAAAGTAATTCTTACAATATACTACAGTTGTTGTATTAATATGAAACATAAAGCTATATATATTAGCCTACCTTACCCATGGTTTTAATTTCCAGTTTCCCTGACCCACGGTTAACCACGATCCAAAAATATTATATACAATAAGATATTTTGAGAGAAAAAGAGACTACATTCATATAACTTTTATTACATTATAGTGTTAAAATTGTTCCATTTTATTGTTGTTGTTAATCTCTGACTGTGCCTAATTATAAATTAAACTGTATCATAGATATGTATTACAGGAAAACACACAGTACATACAGGGTTCAATACTATCTGCAGTTTCAGGTATGCCCTGGGATTCCTGGAACATATCCCTTGCAGATAAGGGGTTCGGGGTAAGCACCATATGGTCTTGGCATGTGAAACAAGCATTTAGTAACTGTGAGTACTGAGGAGTCTGGAGAGCCACTTTGATTTTTAACCCAACTGAACAAAGAGCATCCTAAGTCTCCAATGATCCCCAGATTAAGAACAAACAAAACAAGTTCCACTTCTGCTAAAAGCAGAGTAGCTTCTACCTGACAAATGTTCAGATATACAGTAATTATAAACTCTGGAAAAAATTATAAAGAAACAATCATCTGAAGGCATGAGAGCAACCAAAAGCAAGAAGAAACTGGATGGGAGAGGACACTCAGAAGATGGGAAGGGCTGAGAGTGAGCTTCCTGTTCTCTTTATGAGTTGGTGCCACTGAACACCTGAAGTTCTGAGAGAAAACAGCAAACCTGTTAACTGAACAACCGGCCAGAAAAGGAGGTGAGATGCAGAAACGAAGAGCCACAGAAAGGGAACCTCAAAGTCTACATATAAGCCACCCAAATCCCTGGTGGACCTATAAACTACACAGCTGTAACGCAGACGCCAAGCTGCCAAATAAAACTAAAAAGTTTAAGCTGCTGCCTACTACCGGGGAGACAGAATGAATTCAGAAGTCCACTGCCAGCTAAAATAATTTGAATACTTCAAATGGATGCAGTTTATTGTAAATAAATCACATCAATAAAGTTGATCCAAAAGCCCAAAGCAAAATAAAGACATTTCCAGATAAAACTAAGAATCTACTTCCATAAAACCTGCTCTACAAGTTCTTCAGGCTGAAAGGAAATGTTACCAAATGGAAACTCAGATTTCAGAAAGACACGAGGAATATGTGAGCAAACAACAACTTTTTTTCTCTTAATTTCTTTAAAATATATTTAACTATATACAAAGCAAAAAGTACACATTGAATTTACAGCCTCTCCAGATGTAATCCAAGTAAGTACAGCATAAATGCCAGGGAAGACCGGTAATAAATCTAACTATATAGCTGCAATCTTGTTATTTTTACAGGATGTGGTATGAAAGTAACATAAAGTAATTTGAAAAAAGTTATGGAAGACAGAGAAATCCCAAGAGGAACCACTAAATAATGCAAAAGAGGGAGAGTTAAAAATCTAACAAATTAAAATGACTTGTAACCCCAGCACTTTGGGAGGCCGAGGCAGGACAGTTTAAGGCCAAGAGTTTGAGACCAGTCTGGGCAACACAGTGAGACTCTGTCTCTATAAAAACTAAACAAACGAAAAACTAGCCAGGTGCAGTGGCATGCCTGTAGTCCCAGTACCTGGGAGGCTGAAGTGGGAGAATGGCCTGAGTCCAGGAGTTCCAGGCTGTAGTGGGCCATGACTGTGCCACTGCACTCCATCCTGGGTGACAGCAAGAACCCATCTCAAAAAACAAAAACAAAACCAATAAACACAGAATTCTAATAATAAATATTAAATAATTAAATAATAAATATCCCCTTAACCCCCAAATGGCAGCTTTCAAAAGGAACAACAGAAAACAATGGATCAATGGTAGCCCTCATTCCAACCATATCAAAAATTACATTAACTATAAAAGGATTTGGTGTTCCAATTAAAAGACAGAAAATGGACAGAAAGGCAAAACTTATTTGTATGCTGTTTACCTGAGACCGACTTTAAATATAAACATGGACAGGCTCAAAATATATGGATGGAAAAAGATACACCCTGAAACTACTAAGCATAACAAGGCTTATTCCAGTAAGAACAGTGGCTGTATTAATAGCAAAGTAGATTTCAAGACAAAAAATATTTCCAAAGGTTTTTTAAAAAGGACACTTAATAGTCTTAAAAGGACAAATCACTATGGAGCCATAGAACAAATAGAAAGTGTATGCTCTCATGAGGGCCTCAAAATACATGAAACAAAAATTGAGGTTAGGCATGGTAGCACATGACTGTAATCTCAGCACTTTGAGAGGCAACGACAGGATGATCGCTTCGGCGCAGGAGTTTCGAAATCAGCCTGGGCGATATGGTGAGACCAGGTCTCTACAAATGATTTAAAAAATCGGCGAGCTATGGTGGCACATGCCTGTGGTCCCAGTTACTTGGGAGGCTCAGGTGACCATGCCACTGCACTCCAGCCTGGGTGACAGAGTGACATCTCATCTCAGAAAAAAAAAATAAAGACATAACCAAAGGGGTAAGACAAATTCACCAAATAAAAGTTGGCAATTTTAACCCCCATCTCTCAATAACTTAACAGGCTAACCATACCCTCCCTCCTCATGAAAAATGAATAAGAACAAAGATCTAATACTATCAGCTTATTTCTATAGATCACTATACCCAACAACTACAGAATGTATTTTCTTTAAGAATTGTCAAGCAGACCATATACTGAACTATAAAATAAGTCTCAATACATTTCAAAACACTGAAGTCATAATCTCAATCTTTTTCTAATCACAATGAAATTAAATTAGAAACCGATACCCTCCCCCCAAATATTTGGAAATTCAATACATTTCTAAATAATCCATGGGTCAAATACAAAAATCAAAAGAAATTAAAAAACTATAAAAGTAAAATTACAAAGCTTCTAGAAGCAAGCACAGGAAACTATCTTTGTAGCCTGGCAATAGGCAAATTTTTCTTAGGACACAAAGAATAAAAATATTAGAAAAAAAAATCCAGGTATCAAAAAATTTACAACATAGGCCAATCAAAGGATATCATTAAGAAAATGAACAGGCAAGTCAGACTGGGAAAAAAATATTTGTTAAGACATGTATCTGACAAAATACCTTGGTCAAGAATTTATAAAGACCTCCTAAAACACAGTAAGAAGACAACTGGCTGGGCACGGTGGCTCACGGCCTGTAATCTCAGCACTTTGGGAGGCCAAGGCTGGTGGATCACCTTAGGTCAAGAGTTTGAGACCAGCCAGACCAATATGGAGAAACCCATCTCTACTAAAAATACAAAAAAAATTAGCTGGGCGTGGTGTTGCACACCTGTAATCTCAGCTACTAGGGAGACTTCAACCTGCAAGATGGAGGTTGCAGTAAGCTGAGACCACACCACTGCACTCCAGCCTGGGCAACAAGAGCAAAACTGTCTCAAAAAAAGAAAAAAAAAAAAAAAAGACGACGACAACCCAATTCTTATAAGTGCAAAAGAACTGAACAGAATGGTCAGGCACAGTGGCTCATGTCTGTAATTCTTGCACTTTGGTAGGCCAAGGCGGGTGGGTTGCCTGAGCTCAGGAGTTTGAGACCAGCCTGGGCAACACGGTGAAACCCTGTCTCTAATAAAATACAAAAAATTAGCCAGGCATGATGGCGTCCGCCTGTAATCCCAGCTACTCGGGAGGCTGACACAGGAGAGTTGCTTGAACCTGGGAGGCGGGGGTTGCAGTGAGCCAAGATCATGCCACTGCACTCCAGCCTGGGTGACAGAACAAGACTCCATCTCAAAAAAAAAGAAAAAAAAAAATAATAATAACTGAACAGACACCTCACAAAAAAAGATGCACAAATGGCCAATCAGCACATAAAAAGAACACAATATTATTAGTCATCAAGGAAATGCAAATTAAAATTACAATGAGATACCACCACACACAAACCAGAATGACTAAAATTTAAAAGATGACTATCAACTATTGGTAAGGATACAAACTAAATAAAATGTTCATACACTGCTGGGAGGGATATAAAATGGCACAAACACTTTTGAAAACAGTATGATGGCTCCTTAGAAAGTTAAACATACAACTTAGCACCTCTTCTTCCAGGTATTTACCCCAGAGAAAAAAATTATTTACAAAAAGACCTGAACAAGAATGTTCCTAGTAGCTTTACTCACAACAGCCAGGGACAAAAGGATATGTAGTGAGTAACTATATGAAGTTGCAGAACAAGCAAAACCAACATGTGGTGGAAAAAATGAGAACAGTGATTGCCTCTGGGGTAGGAGGTGATGGCAACTGACTGAGAAGGAGGACAATTGAAATTTCTATGATGACAGAAATATTAAATATCTTGATGGGGCTTGGAATACACAGGTGTAAGCATTTGTCAAATTTATTAAATGGCACACCTAAGAATTTAACATTTCACTATATGTCAATTTTGCTATATTATAAAAAAACAACAAATATTTAACTCTACTTCATTCTATGTATGCTGAAGTATTTGGGGGCAAAGTGTACTAATGTCTTCAACTATCTTTAAAATGCACCACAAAAAAAAGATGGGACAGGTAAATCTTTTTTTTTTTTTGATAAAGCAAATGTAACACAAAATGTTGGAATCTAACTGCTACTATGTGTATCCACTGCAGAGTTCTTTCAACATTTCACGTTTGAAATTTGTCATAATCAACTGAGGGAGGAGGAGCAAACAAAAGACG